GTCAAACACGGTAGGCTGGATGAATTATTCAGCAGAGCACACGCAAGTTGCAGGACAGAGGCGTTAATCGTCCGCAGACCCCGTGGACATGAATTACGACGTTTAGAATCACGTTATGGGGGTTTGTAAGCCTTGGGAATAGTACCTACTACAGCCCCGAAACTAATAGATATAAAAGTCTTTGATCTGGGGAGGTGGAAAGTCCTATTGTCCCCCAATTCGCTTTCTTGACTATTAAATTTTTCGATATTGAATCTGCTACCGCTATAATGCCCGCTGTCGCCGACAACTTCACTACGGTCGTCCACCGTGAGCCCTACGCGGCCATCTCCCCTTCCCGCCCGCAGCTCTCACAGAAAGGCAAGGTTGTTCTTGTAACTGGAAGCTCTGGTGGTATTGGCCTCGCTATTGCTCGGGCGTTTGGCGAAGCAAGTGCCGCAAAGGTCATCCTGACCGGTCGTCACCAGGGTCCGCTTGATACTGCCGTCGCCACCCTAAGCAAGGAGTCACCCCAGACTACCTTCATCGCTCGTCTGAACGATGCCTCAAATACTGCCAGCGTCGAGGACCTCTGGAAGCAGTTTGATACCGAGGGGTTAGTCGTTGACGTCCTCGTCCTGAATGTGGCTCGCGTGCAGCCCCCCGGCTCCATCCTCGAGATAGGGTACAAGGAGGTAGTGGCTGACCTTGCTACAAACGCCAATTCAATCGCAGCGTTTGTCCATCTTTTCTACCACCAGAGCAAGAGAGATACAAGCAAGAAGCTGGTATGTATTTCAGCAAGACAGCGCTATCTTTCGCATAGTATGAAAAGTAACAATGACTGATCGACTTCTCTTCGACCAAGTCCTTGGTGAACATATCGACTAAAGCTATTCACGATTTCGAGGTTGCAGCTACATTCCCAAATTACTCAGCATCCAAGAACGCAGGAACAATCTTGGTCCAGCAGGTCGCCAAATCTGTATCGCCAGACGACCTACAAATCATAAGTTTCCACCCAGGAGCGATATTTACAGCGGCGGCGGAGAAGGCCGGGTACACGCGCACCACACTCAACTGGGATAACGGTAAGTGCATGCACCGCATGAAACTTTTACATGAATATCAAACCTCTGCCGGTGAAAGTTATCAGGAGATTGTAGGTCACTTTGCTAACGATATTCTGTTCGCAGAGAACCTTCCTGGTCACTATGCCGTCTGGGCCGCATCGGATGAGGCGAAATTTCTGCATGGACGCTTCACTTGGGCAGCATGGGATGTTGACGAGATATCTTCAGGCAAGATCAGAGAGCATATTGATGGGGATGTCAACTATCTCAAGGTGGGTGTTGTCGGTCTCTAAGCATGTGATTGTAGAGGTGAGAACTAAACCTTATCCATATCATCAGCGTGTGTGTATTAGTTTTTATTGATGCTATAAACGGCGGACCTATGAATTGCCTTTTTGAGTTAGTTTTGCCGTTTTGAGTTTAGCGCCCTAAATACGCCGTCACGTAACCTCCCCTTCCATAGCTCCAGCCTAAAAGACCTGACCTCGCCCAGTCTGACCACTTTTCTTCTTCCTCCCTCCCTCCATCCCTTCTATCTTGCACTCATCACTGCCCCCATTTCTTTTGTTCCTGCCCCCATCGAACACTGCGCATTGGCCTTCAGCCCGCTGCACTGCCCCTTTCATTTCGCAGAGATGCTGCTCGATCTGACGCCAAGGTTGTTCTGGCCAGCATCAGCAGCAATGCCATCGGTCGCCCAGAAGCGCAGATCCTAGGTTGATACAGTCCTTCCCCCGCCGCTGTGGTTCCCTGTCAATTGCTTTCCCAAAAGGAGGAACAATAGACTGCTCTACGGAGCTATCTAGATCGCTCTCCGCGGGCGAGGCTTCTGAACTTCACCATTGAAAAGTTGTCGGTTGTTACCGTCGATTACGCATGCTCCGCTTCGTCAGTTCCACCTGTGGTTACGTTGCCCAGCCCCTGGTTACGCAGATCTACCCTCGGTTCCTTATGCGCATACGCCTTGGCACCCAGTTGTCGTCATCATCGGCCTTTCCGGTGTTCCTGTACCTAGATGATGAGTCTTCGCAAACCACCCCGGCGATACGGACCAGTAGCGAAAATACCTCACATGCTCATGATCTCGGTCGATGCTGCGCCAAGAGGCCAATGGCGCCTCCAAGGACCTCCAAATGATTCTGCAACCATCTAGCAAATGAGGACCGGGCTGGTCTTAACGAGCTAGATGACAAAGCCGCAAACAGAGATTCCATGATGAAGCTTCTGCTCGACCAGCAAGGAGCAGATGTCAAGAGATCACTAATGAGATGGTCAAGGCCGCCGCCGCCAATGGGGAAAGTGGAGAGGCTGCAATGAAGCTTCTGCTCGAAGGAGTGGATATCAACATCACCGAGGGCGTGGTTCACATGATCGAAGTTGAATTGTCTCGGGTGAACCAATGGATTTACATTGTCCGGTTTTGGGCCTGTTTCCCACTACTCAGTATTACCAAGGTGTATTCTCCCGGTGATGGCCACTGGCAGAACTTGCCACGTCTTCTGTGACTACCTTGCCTAAGTATCGATAGGCACGATGCGAATGAGATGATATACCTTCGCATTTCGCAAATTCTATGTTAGCATGTTTTGCAGTTTCTTGTAAAATACATCAGGCGAGGTTCCATCCGCGTCATGTAAAATGTAGTCTCTATTATAGGAATCAGGGGGTCGACAGGACTGAGACCCTGGGGTCGTGACGGGCCTTAGGGAAAGAAATATGTATATTGATTCTACCGTTCATCTAAGCACAACTCCTCAAAGACTTCACGGCCCTTTTCATCCAAATTTGGGTATTCTCTCAAAAGATGCAGATCCTTTCAGAAAATCTTTGCGTCAGTATGCCCATCGCCATGTACATCCAAACGCTCTTGAAGAATTCCCCAATATCTAACCTAGCTAATCTTTCCCATATCAGTCTCGTCAACGGACCACGGAAGTATAGGCGGCATTGCAGGGCAATGAGCGCGACACAAGTTTTGGCGTCGTAGGAAATAATTGTCTCCTCCTAGAAACCGTCCCCAAGATATTTTCAAGAAACTATCCCGACGATGGGATGTTCTACTTGACCTATTAAGACCGAGAATAGGGCAAACAAATAATTAATTGCAAAGGTTCTATCTAGTGAAAGTGCCGCTTTGGCCCTACCGCTTCATGTATGTTGTTCCGGTGTATCTTTATCACCAAGCTCCAGGTCCTGGTCGGTCACTAGCTTTGGGGCTGGATAGTAGGAATTCTTGATACAGTAGCGCCCGATATCGCGTTCCATGTCCGAAACATATAGATGCTCTTTCAAACCCTACTCACATGATACGGGAAAAATTAACACGTTTTGTCCATACCCGTAATAATACCAGTCCCTTTTATGAATTGTAAGACAGATACAAGACAGATACAAGAGCCTAAAATTAGAAGCCTGGAACTCCTAGAAGCTTCCAGCAAATGTTACAAACAGCGCAAACAAAAGCGACGGTTGAATTGGCAAGGTGTCAACTTCTCTATTCTGCATCTCGCTGTTGCTTTACTATAGAGAGCTTTGTCCTCCCTGGGGGTCAATCTGGGGTTAAGGTGATAGGCAAGGCTCAATAGTAAGGTTTTGTCTCGGAATCCCCACCATTGCTTATCATCATACTGCGGTTTCGGATCTTATTATATAGTAGGGGTTACTAGCTAACGCCTTACAGCTCTGCTCAGGTTAAACTTATCGGAAGATAGTCACGATAACTAATAACCTTCTTGGTGACGATGCCTATCAAACCCAGATGGTCGACCTATAGGACGTAAATTCGGATTATGCCCGCACTCCTAGCGACTTCGGTCGCACGCCCGCCACCTTGGACTCTCCTAGCCCTGCCTCGGATTATGCGACCGACCAGCCCGATCATCTTAACTTTCTCCTATTTGCTGAATGGGAAGAAAGTGACGAATATAATGAGCTGCCGCCGAAATTGTATGGAAGCTTATACTCAACCGTAAAAAGGTAGGCAAACTGACCGAGGAAGATTTAGTTATACTCCTAGTGATTACTAGGGAAAGGTTTTGTAAGCAAATGTTGAAAACATGCTATAAACGGAAAAGAAGCGTAACTAGCGCGTTAGATCTGAAGGTATGTACGGCCATTACGGTAAAAGTGAACGAACGGTCCTAGAAGGACTTCGAAAATTTTTATAATTCCACCACTATTAATTGGACGCCGGTGGAGAAGCAGCTTCGTAAATAGAGCAATTTGCTTCGTATTAGCAGGAAGATCATGATTGAGATTGCCTTCACTTACAGGGAGGATGATAATAGTAATTCCATGCGTGCATCAAGACGAGTCGAAAAAAGAGGGCGTGTGTCCGCAACTAGCAGGATGTTAGCTGAGCATGAGGCACACATTGAGGCCGAGGAAACTGAAAAAAATTCGACTTGGAGTCTTGTGTATGAGCTTATGCGATGTGATGTCCGCTCGTGTCTGCTCAGATCTGACTGGTGCTAGGAGGGCCCAAAGGATAAGAAACACTACAGACTGAGGACCCCACATCTAGATTGCACTTTTGTGAGCACTTTTTATTTCAGTGTACTAGCTCACTGCATACTAAATTAATGTTCTAGCTCAATTTGCCGTACAGCTCCATGATGGAACGATGGTTAAGCAACTAACTCGAACATGTTGGATGTGTCGACTGCTCCACTCAACTTATTAACTTGATCATCATTGAATAAAATCTATAGTCACACACACAGTGCAGCATGTGGAATGGACAATTTCGGTGATTCGCACGAAAGATATCCGTCGATATTGATGCGACAGAAAATGGAGAGACGAAAGCCGTACTAGCAGAGCCAGCACATCTTAGTACTTGGCAGAGGACAGAGACATTGAACAGGACGTCGCTACGCAAATGATCGCCTCCACCCAAGAAGAGCTTTTCGACCGTCATGCAACGACTTGAGCAGCTGGAGTGACATCCTATGTGAATTGCCAGCTTGCAGGGAACGGATTCGGGAAACTATTTGGCATCGCATTGAAGGCCTCGTTCAATGCCTCCAATCTTTTGACCACCTTGTCGTTATCTTCCGTCCCGCCCATTGTGGTGTCGCCATCAGCGTCGGGAGCATTGTTTGGGTCATACTGGAAATAGTCATTGATGACTTTCACATTGCGATCCAGAAAATCTGTCGAATTAGTAACTATTTGGTGTCCCGGAAGTGAAAAGGGCAACCTACCCTTCTGCTTTTTTACCATCAGCGGCCATTGTCCGTACATGAAGTCTCGCCATTTGTCACCGTAGTCCTGGATTTTATACGGTTCTCGATTCCAGGACGGGTCATCCTAAAACGCCTGCGGTCAGCAAAAAAAAAAGAGAAAAGACGAGAAGGGAAAGGAAACCTACATATTCTGAGAGAGCCTTCTCGACTTGATCACTGATAGCACAAGTGCGTTAGTGACGAGATTCTTGCCTGAAAATTTGAGTACTCTAACGTACAAGTAATCTCCCACACGAGTGGCTTGGGTAACCAGGGTTTGAGAGACAAGGGCGTCCGTCATATATTTCATGGCGAAGATGACTCTCTTGCAGATATTGACAGCGTCATTGAAATCACGCCCCTCGTTGCCTTTCAGATAATTCTGCATAGTGGTGTCTTTTCTGACCTCAACGTCACCCCACAGCCTGAGTGAGTTAGTAAGAGGCCTCTTTGTTGATATGGATGGATCACCTACGCCATTTTGGCTCCGTTTGTAAATTTATCAATAAGCATCAGTTCATTGCGGAAGTTGTTGGTACCGGGAAATGCCTGTGCCACAAGGTCGACGGGTCTTGCCGTTTCTAGGTTCGGGAGGGGTATTAACTGTGTATACCACCAGAAACGTAGATACTTGCAGATTTTAATCGGTTTGGTGGTGGGGGATTTTGTTCTGGGATCATCAAACGTGTCTGTCACACTTTTGTCAGTCATATCCAGCCAGAAATCTGCCAGCTGCAGTGTTAATATGTTAGTATGTCTCCATTTGAATCAGGAGAAGTATCTTACCAATTGCCACTCCTATCAGTTCTGTCAGCCTTGGAAACATGATGAAAGCAATTGATAATGACAAATGGGAAGCATGTGGCTTACAAGGACATGCTCAGTGGCCCAATTTTTGGAATCTGCTTGTGGTGGTGTTGGGACCCTGCCATAGCCTGCAAAAGTCAAGTTAGTCGGGGACATCAAGCATCGAGTGCAAGTCACAAGTCATTTTCTTACTATAATCGTCACAATCGTCGGGATTGAGGGGCCCGTAAGTAAAGAAAGGATTCGTTGCCACATTTTTGATCAAGGTGCTTGACTCCGGAAAGACTGGTGCCCACGCAATCATAAAAGCGTCCCCTTGGCAGAACTCAAAACTCTTCCTATCTCGCTTCTCCAGGACATGAAAATTCCTGGTATTCTCATGAGGTCCAATTTTCACTCCCGGAGAGATGATTCCTGATAGATAATCTTCTTCATCGCGCTTGGAGACCAAAGTATCGGTAGAACCGGCACCGCCCCACCCTGGAATAGAAGCATTGCAGTCTCCTGTTGGTGTCTTCTTTTTGTTTGGGCACCGTAGGGCACCACCAAAGATATCGGGAAAGAGGACGCTACTCGAGGTTTCTGCCCTCTTAGCCAGGCCCCTTGCCAGTGAAGACGTGGTAGAATTATTGGAAATAGCTCTTAAACCCGTGTCTCGCTTACTGGTAGAGACTTTCCAAGGATAGCACGTCATTGGTGACAGCTCTTTGTCAATTGCGTAGACGCTGATGCTTTGTGTTCCTGAATCCCAGCCTGGGAGTGGATTCTCAATGGTGATATCGATGTCTAGAGAGTAATCAACGCCGTAAGAAGCACCGCCACAAAGAACATCGGAGCCAGTTCCTGCGCCGACACGCACAGTCGCAGAATTGCTGAAACTAGTAGACACACGTGTATTAACCAGTCTCTCGCCAAACGCATATAGCTGGATTTGGAATCCAAGACTAGGGACCATAGTGAGTGTGATAGAGCCGTCTGCTGTAATGTTAGCCTTGCTATAGGCCTCAACCGAGGTGGTTAGCACAGCAGGCCTAATGATAGATGATGACGGAAACCGATTCATCGATTGCGGAAACATATAGGTAAATGGCTGGCTAGTGATCAGACCTAGTCCGGTAGTGACCTTCCCGGACATGGTTGCTGCTCCCCGAATCTGGGCAGTAGTATCAAAGTACGGTCCCACTGTGAAAAGTCCTTTGATGTTAAAGCTGCCCGCAAAAGGATCCCACTGGTCGAACAACTGAAGTTTCTCCGACTCGTAACGGAAGGCCGCATTAGCATCCAATGAAGCCATTGAGTCTACCTCTAGCCCATCGAGGTTAAAAAAGGCATAAGCTTCGCTGAAGTCAAAGTTGCGGAGGGTGCCGATCAGCGAGATTCCATAGTCCAGGCGTACCGACAAATCGCCCGCCACTTTCGCCGTCACTTGCGCTGTGGTAGGGGGACAAGGCTTTGCTGCATTGTAGAGGATTTGCTCAAAGTGAAACTGCTTCTGGAGCCCGTAGTTACTGTGGCTATCAAGTAAGGCGTTGAAGCGATCCAGCCACCACGAGTCACTTGTCCCCCACCCACGCTTGCTGAGCTTGTGCTCAAACCAGTCCAAATGGAATTGACGCCAGTCGTTAGAGCTTCGTTTCTCCACTGAGCCCGAGGGCGAAGATGAAATGATCTCTGTGACTTAAATTAGTGGGATGACTATACAGGTACGAGTCAACATACCGTCCCAATATCCTGGATGAACTGAGGCATCGAAGCGGACGTAGACCTCTCCTCCGTCACGGCGCAGGTGTCGTAGATTGTAGTCATACTTGATTTCGTACACTTTGGGGCTTTCAGTTAGGCGTTTGGATAGGCGTGATGGCACTGAATGGTCCACTTCTCGGAAAGAGACCACTCGCACCCACTCATCAGGGCCACACTCCTCTGGCAAGCGTATTATGGTACCATGGACACTGCCGAGAGCAATATGTTCACAGTTGTTGTCATCACCCTCCACAGTACAGACAGCGTTGAAGGTCTGCATGTTGTAGTCGTCCTTGGCCGGGTTAGGGCAATTGAAGGTTTCTAGATGGGATCCATCTCGTTTCCGCAGAGATTGTACATCGGCTTCAGCGCCGACCATGATCGTCCATGCTATTACAGTTGATTAGCCGACATTCCGTTTCACTTAAAGTAAAAGAGCTAGCAAATGAGGTCTTACCAAATGGTTCCCTGTTGGGATCATCGGTATAGCTTGAATCGAAATGCGGATACTCCTCTGCCCACTCTTCAGCCGAATGGTCGAAGGCTTCATAGTACACTGGGGGGGATGCGGCTGGTAGATCTTCAGGAAAGAGGTTGTCAAGAGAGACCGGAAGGAAAGCGGTGCCACTGCTCACATCCGCGAGTTAATTTGAATCACAAAATCATGAGGAAGGTAGTGCATCGTACTTGAACGGAGGATCACAACAGAATACTTGCTTTCGGCCGGGAAGACAACCAGTAAATCCACTTCCACCTCGGCCGTTGGTATTCTGCGCCAGCTCCACTTGTCCCTAGTAGAAGATAATTGAGTAAGCGATTGCGAGGCAGTTAAGCACAAAGAAAGATTGGCCACCTACTTCAGGGCATCGATTACCAGAACAGGTAAGATAAGAGCCATGCCAGGCACAGTTGGAGAACGCCGGTTGTTTCGGGCAACAAAGTGCACGATTGTCCACTTTTCCTAGCTGCTGCGGTCTCTCCGCCGGACAGGATTGCCACGACCAGTTCACCGTCTCGCAGGCAGACACTGCTGCGGCGCCACTGGTCGCCGGGCAGCAAAAAGCCTTTTCGCCACTGATACAACACTCAGAAGAATGGCTATCGCCACACTTGTTAGAGTTCAGCAGGACCTACAATGTGAAAGCAATAGATTAGTCTTTAAATCTCAAAAGACACCACCTGATGAATCAGATCCAACGTGACATACTTCTCCTACATTGCACTGTCCCCGGCAATTAACACCATCGCCTCGCCATGTACAGGTAGACGGATCTGGTGCACCCCATGGAGGGCAACAATACTGACGCTTCTGGCCATTCAGGCATTCTGGGTGAAGTTTCGCAGTTGTTAAATCGGTCTAGATTCACGTTGTCAGTAGCGCTTTCTCAAACGGCATCCCGAAAGATTCAAAGCAGCTATTACCATAGTGATGAAGCTGTCAGCACAGTCGACTCCGCAGGGAGTGGTGAAGCATTTATCTATATCAAAATAGTTCAAAGTTGCACTCTCTCTCACTATAGGCGCTAGATCCTTGCCTGTGACCGACTTCAGTGCCGTGAAAGTGTCATCATCAAGGTCAATGGCCCAGATAAAGAGACCATTCAGCCCACGGGCATTGGCAAAGTCAATCTTTTGCTGGAAAGTTCTCTTGTCATCGAATGACACCCCTAAAGGGAGGACACATTAGGGCGGGAAGCGAACAAGGGTCACAAGATACGCACAGCTGGTCCCCCGGTCATATACCATATAGTTGACACCAGCCTCAGGATCGTAGGTAGTGAAGATAGAGCCCTCGTTAGAATTGATTAGGTCTTGTATCTCTGAGTAAGAGAGAATACCCGCAGTACTGGTGTCGCGGCCTTCGGCTCCTGCTCCTGAAAAAGTACACCCGGGGGTAAAACAACTAGGATCATCGAGCTCAAAAGTGCGTCCGTAGAACGCTAAGCCGAGGTTCACCTTTTGAGGATCGACGTCATTCCGCCACAGTAGTGCGAGACTGTCGTCGATCTCTGTCAAGTTAGTGTGAGCATATATGTGCGAGCCGAACGGATCGTGCTTGTCCCAGACTCCATGCAAATCGTAGGTCATCAAGTTAACATAATCTGCATACTTGAGAAGTTTTGGTAGATCGAACCACTGAAGATACCAATAGGAGGACGGGGCGGTAAATGAGATCTCGAAGTCCTTTTCTTCGTCGTCGAATCTAGAGCGAATTGCCTGCATAAGAAGCGGATAATTGGCGACATCCACCTCTTCTCCGCCCCTATCTCCGGCACCAGGGTACTCCCAGTCAAGGTCAACGCCATCAAAGCCATGCTGAACCATGAAAGAGTAAACGTTTGCTGCAAAGAGCTCACGCAGATTTGAACTGGCAGCAATTTCACCAAACACAGGCTGTGTGGTGGTACTGATCATTGTATGTCAGCAAATGTCGCACATACACTCACTCATGGATCATATCTACTAGTTTTCAAGCTTGGTGGGGAGCTGGATAAGCTTTGGATAAGCTTACTCATTGTCACTGAAAGTCCAGCCACCGATCGAAAGCCAAACCCGAAGGTCTGCGTTTCTTTTCTTCGCATCAGCCACCTGATAAATCAATTCCCAGCTGCCCCCGGGCATGGGCACAATTTGAAACTGATTTCAACTGTTAGCAGGAGGCAAAGTCGGTTATCGTAGAACCGGAACAACATGCCGACTTCGGGTCAATATAAGCAAAGGCATAGCTCAGTCCATTCAATGCTTCGACTGGAATCTGACTGATATCCTTCTGGGGCACAGCGTTCTTCTCCCCTCGCCAACTCTCATAATAGCCCATGATCATATTGCGGACATCTCCTCCCGAGCGCGGGCTGGCTGGGGTTCGGCAGTTAGACTGACATCCAATTCCGCAGAACTCCTGACGCTAGAGTCAGCCCTACTCCGTCAAAGTATAGTCTGCGGTATCCCAAGGTGCACTCACACTGGTGGTACCACAGAATCCATATTGAGAGCAGCAGACATTCCTATAAACAATCAGCCCCTTTTCCCACAGATGGGACTTGCAATAGAGCGTACAAAGAACAAGTAGAAATGCCTGACTTTGAGTATTGACCGCAAGGTGCATGGGCATCGCAGTTGGAGGTGCATCCAGTACCGCAGTATGTTGGCCCATATCCACAAACACCACTTTCTCCACAACACGCCCCATTCGAGCAGGGCTTATCTTTCGTGCAAGTATATGACTGGTCCTGGTTCACGTCCGTGGCACGACGGTCAAGCCGAGTGTAGTTACGGCTCTCTAGCTCCCCAGTCTCGCCGTCTTTAACAAAGCTGGAGTCTTGAAGATTGTGTGAGGTAGAGAATCTTGCAGGAAGGCGAGGTAAATTAGCGTTCTGAAAAACAAAGAAAGCAAATATAGCAATTGGTACAAGGAGAAAACAGCTAAATATCTGTCGGTTGTACAATCTCCTTTCCACCCTGCGGCTGTTCGACGGCATGTTGACAGCCGCCAAAGCGTTTGTATATTGCCAGGAAAGGAACTAGAAGATACAAGAAAAGAGTTTTGAAAATTTTTAGAGTCTCAGAGGCAGAAATTGATCAATTAAAAGGGGAAACAAGGTACGGAGTACATGTCGGAGACTAAGGCCATAAGAGCCTTCGCGCTTCGGAGCTAGTGAATTGACGAGAATTTCCGTGAGTCCAATCCACACCGAACTGATATCAAAGCACCCGTATCGCGCTAAAGAGCAGCAGCCGAGGGGTGGACATTGTCTCATCGCCACTCATACAATTGCTCAAAATGTGGATTGATGGTTCCTCCTGTGTACTTTGTACAATAAAAGACTACCATAGCAGCTGAGGGATAAGGAAGATATTCCATCTATACAGGCAAAGGCATATTAGAGCGATCATACTACCCTTACTTTTGTTTTGGTTTTCGTTTACTTTTTCAATACCGCAAGTGAAGGCTTGTACTGTCGGCCAAGCGAAAGAGCCAAGAAAGTTAAGCCCTTTTGGCCCCCAGTCTAGTGCCTTGGTTAAAGATTGCCGTCCAATCATTTTCCTCTGAGATCTCCTACCCATGCATGGATTCTCGGAGTACTCGTATAAGTTATCCACTCTGATGGGTCTTCCGGCGTTCCCGAGGAAAGTGCCCTTTTAAATCCTCGCGGGCGAACGAACCTGAATGTATGGTAGCAAGGTAGTTCGAAATGCGTATGAATGAATATCTATTCATGCAATGTTTCACCTTTATGGCAGTCATACATTCGGCACTTGCCTTGGGCCCAGGGCATTAACGTGGGTTGAGAAAAAATCTCCCCAAAGTGGAACTCTTTAGGGGAGCGTTTCTACTAATCTACACTAATAGAACCAGTGACCTATCATCGCCGTCCAAGAATTTTTTTCATCGAGCCCCTGCATATAGCTCGATAAATTACGGAGTAGAGACTCAACGGATATTTAGCGCATAGCAATTTCGGTAGTGTGAGAACCAAATGTTCATGTTTCGGTTATTAGCTCCAATCGAGATAGGTCCCATCCTTTCAATTCGGCATATGATACGGGAAATGATAACATTGGATGACAGCGGTAACCTCCTCCTTGTCGTCTTCTTTTCTCAGTCGGCTGACCCTGTTGATGAAGCCCTTATCTTCTCTGATTTTTCTTAGTGGGTGTATCATGTCTACCTCGTTGAAGCTCTCATGGAGTCACTTCCTTGAGCTTGGCATTCTGCTCAATATATGTCTTCCTTTTGTGTCTGCGAATGCCCACGGTCATTGGGGTGTCCATGATCGGCGACATCAGCGCGATGCGGTCTCTTCGACAGCTTTGCCTACAGCAAAACCTAGCCTAGCGACGACTGAAACCATAATGCTTTCGTCTGAAGTGGTCTCTGGGCCGACGGCATTGTTTGACATTAACTATCTCACCATGTTTTCGGCGGACTGTGCCAGTGCCTTGGGTGCGTCATTGAACTGTTCGGATCTAATTCAGTACTCCGACTATCAGCAGGGACTGACTGTGGAAAACCTCACGGCGCTCTGTACAACCGCGTGCTCTTCTTCGATTGCGACATTCCGAGAAAATGTGTTCACAAACTGTGCGAACGATATATATACTGATGAACCCGTAAATGCTTCTTCGTATGTCTACGGTACAGGGACCAAGAACGATATATACAATGTTGAGGGGATCTCGATCAAGCCGATTGCCATGGTTGATCCTTATTTTATCAACTATGATATGACTTGCATGCAAGATGGGTAACGTTTTTTTCGCAATATCATCCAATGACTATACTGACTGTGTCCCAGTGCCAATCCCCCGAATTTCTGCTACACTTTGGCTGCAAATGACACCGGTACCGAAGTCGAGCCGGACCCATGCGGCAACTGCGGTCTAGGCATCATGCGTGTGCAACTAGATAGCCCAGTGGGTTATTTCGACCAGTTTGCCAGCCAGTATCTGGCCTCGGCATCCTCTTGTGGTGTCACTGTGCCACCACTTTCCAAGCCAACTCAGGTCTATCTCAACAACACTAAGTAAGCAATCTATATCCATATATGAACAATAGATTTTTTGGTTTGAAGCTCACAATATATGACAGCACCCTGGTCTCTAGCTACGCCTCAACTCCAACGTGTACGGGGATATATGTCACTATCACGCCTGGTAGTACCTGCGACGAATTTGCCGAGAGCAACTCAATCTCAACCGATCAACTGTTGATGATCAATGGTTTAGCTGGAGGCTGTGCTAATTGGCCGGGCAATCTCGATAGTCTTTGTGTGGAGGGGAATTGTGAGCCTTACTTAGTCCAGCAGAATGACACTTGCCGAAGTGTCGCGGCCGCTCACAACATTACACTAACTCAACTACTTTCATGGAACCCAACCATCGATCCTAAGTGTACCAACTGGCAGACGAAGATTGACCATGTTATCTGTGTCGGGAACCCCGTGGGATATGTTCAACCTACAAGCACTTCGGAGGCTACCACCACGGCGATTGCGGTAACTGTGCCAACAAACGCCGTGGATGGATCGAACGTCAGGTGTGCGAAGTGGTATACTGCCGGGGAGAATGGTAATTTGCAGCTCTGGAGCGCTCTATGCTTGATCTTCTGCTGATGTTAGCTCTAGATAACTGTGCTTCGATCTCCGTTCAAAACGGGGTTACCCTAGATGACCTGTATTTCCTCAATCCGGAACTCAATGGCAATTGCACGAATCTCATGCTTGGTAGGCGCTCGACTCGTTGCTTTTTACACTGTGATCTATTATACTCACATATTAGGGTACGCATACTGTGTACAGGCTGTGGGCGAAATCTCGACGTACCTAGGGTATTCAGGGACCGTCATGCCCACCACCTCCGCCAGGTATATGACTGCTTCAACTCTCGTTTGGAGTGATCTACCCACGGCAACTCCGGTCGTCTATCAGAACATCACCACAACGACTGTCACATACCCATTGGCAACCGGTTCTCTCTCAGGGTGTTTCAAGATGTTCGAAAATGACTATGGTAACATTCGATGCTACGAAGCCGCCTCTATATTCGGTGTTGATGTGTCAAGTTTCGTGCTCTGGAACCCCAGTGTACTGAATGGACAAAACTATACAATTTATGGCTGCACGCTCAAAAACGAGACCCAGTACTGTGGCTCTTTCTATAACCAAACCTGTGAGTCACCGGCCACATTTGCTATATAATTGCTTTTATAATTGCCCCACACGATGTCTTGAATACTAATGCTTCACCGTATAGTGGTCCCATCTAGCAGCTTCGTCTACCCACCTGTTCCCACCGATTCCACACCTGAAGCTACCACCCAATGCCTTGATTGGTATTTGACCTGGGATGGTGAGTAGTAATATGCAGGAAAACAAACAATGGGTTGCAAATTGACTGACTTTGTCCGTAGGCGACACTTGCGACTCAATCTGCCAGGCATTTGATGTTCCCCTCTCTTCATTCTACGAGTGGAACCCCAGTCTCGGTTTGTCCTATTCACCACAGAATTCCAGCTGTTTTCCCTGACGTTCTATCTAGGTCCGGACTGCTCGAACCTCTGGATAGGATCTTCTGTAAGACAACCCCAAACCACACTTCCCGCTGTATCGCGAAACCAAACTCATATCATGGTGTGCAGTACTGTGTTATTGGACCCGGCTACCGAAGCGTTTCCTACAATATGACAACCACTACGGCTACCACATCTTTTACCACAGGTGCGCCTGCACCAACACAATCAGGCATTGTTTCAGATTGCCAAGAGTGGTATGTGTGTCAGGCAGATGATACCTGTGCGGCTATTGCATCCACATATGGCATTACCGTCTCTCAATTCGAAGCATGGAACCCGGCTGTTGGAGGTAAGTCGCCTGTTGATCCTACGTAATTACTCTTCCGGACGTCTACTAACGTCTGAAATTTTAGCAGATTGTGACGGTCTCTGGGTGGACGAAGCATATTGCGTTAAAGCAGATACAGGGACTACTACAATAATCACGAGTACACAGAGTGCGACTGTGACTGCTCCGGCACCAACACAATCCGGAATCGTTGCCGACTGTCAGGAGTATTATGTCGTCAAGGAAGACGATACCTGTGCGGCTATTGCATCAACATACGGCATTAGTGTGGCCCAATTCGAGTCCTGGAACCCGGCTGTTGGAAGTAAGTCGAGTATCAATCCCACTTGATCCCCCTTCAACACTTCACTAACACCATATAACTCGAAGGTGACTGCACAGGTCTCTGACTAGATGAAGCATACTGCGTTAAAGCAGGGGGCGGCAGTACTACAACGACCAGTTCGGCTACAGCAAGTGTAACTCCTCCAGCACCAACCCAAGCAGGGATCCCGTCCACCTGCAACGCGTACGGTGTTGCCCAGGACGGTGATGGATGCGAAACGTTCGCCTCTCGCAATGGAATCACCGTAACTCAACTTTGTGAGTATAGCGCAGCTTTATATTAAGCAAATCCCAAATTAACAAACTCGCCCGCTATAGACGTATGGAACCCGGCTCTAAATAGTGCCTGCGAAAAGTGAGTCTTGTTAATTTCTTACTATTGGTTCCGAATGCTAACCATTCGTCCCCCACAAACAGCTTCTGGTTGGGTGAAGCCTACTGTGTCGGAGTATCATCTTAATTTATGGTCTTGGGTGGCACGCATCAATTTATATACATTTTAGGTAGTCGATCGGCTTACACCCGTAGCTATACCGGTGATTCCAATGCCCTACATTCATCTAATGAATAGGAGTCTCACCTAGGCGAATACTTTTCTGTGTGTTCTCATAAAGACAAGCCTGCCAACTTCGAAAGGCTGATTACAAAGAGAACAGAATCTTCCAATGTTGAACTCATTCAAATTCTCATGTTCCGCACTCTTTAAATTCAACCTCGAGTTCACTTCCAGTGTGTTGAAGGGCAACTTTTCTCCAAATCTGGAAGACCTGCTCATCCGGCTGATATATACGCTTAGCCTTTTCTAACCTTGCCGAAGCGTCCGTTTCACGTGGATCGGATATGTCTTCATTGCTCCAGCTGAGCTTCGCCCTTCCCGCTTGCACTTCATACTCGAATGCGTATTCTGGGCGGGCAGCATTCGCCACGAGCCTCATCTGTCTCAACTTAGGCATTCGGAGGGCCGCCTGACCAGCCGAAAGGTAAAATTTATCGACATAATCCGGGATAATCCTTGTTCGAAAGATGGTGCGCTTGCGATCTTCGAGAGGAATCCGCACGTATTCGGGATAGTCGTTCTCATCATCTTCGAAAGAGTCGTAAGCATTGTCCGTGTCATCATCCACAGCCTCCCCCCGCTCCCGTTGACAGAGCCACTCTCCAGACGGTGTTATTTGCGGATACTCCACAGAAACATTAATCAAATTTGGCCAGAATGGCAGCTTAAGATCGTCGCCGTCGTCCTGTAGATTAAACGGCCAAAACAATTCCGGGCCAATAACTGATTGGGTGGTATAGAGACTCTCTAGTTGCTGAGAGAAATTCCGTAAGTGCGAGCTTAAAAGGTCTGATCCGTCCACCGTCACATCAGGAGGAGGGTAGTTCTGATCCCTAGGAGGCAAATAGTGAAATTGTAGACTAAGTTTCCGTACACTCGTAGGAAACAAGTGAAGATTACGAGCGAAGTCTAAAGACGTGGTTAGTAGACCATAGTATATATCCTCTTAGTAAGATCTCGCTTACTATTACGAAGAAGTTGTCTTAAGCGTTCGTCTCGCTTACATTCATCCTTCATAATCAGCTCCACGCGGTTCAACCGCGGCAGCTTTAATGCAATAAACACACTTGACGCCGGCTCGATTAGCCGCTCTTCTGCAAGCCCTTGGATTGAAAGAGAGGTGATCGCAGGGACAAGCGGGCACTCAGAATCAGATGTTGCTTTAGAGAATTCAAGGTAAGATCTCTCATATCTCTGACTAAGAAGATCGTTCACCCGTGGTTTGGCCGCTCGTAGTCGTTGCTTGATCTCTCCCCTACTTTTAAGAGCAGTATAATCGCTAGGGGACTGTGCCTCGATGTTAAGAGCGATACTAGCGTTGTCTGACCAGCCCGATATGATTCTGAAAAGAGTGCTGATAGTCGCGGTAAAGATCTTGTTGTTTTGTTGGCGTTCCTCGTCTGTCTCGAATCGGGCGCGCGCTTTCTCATCGTATGACTCCAGCTCCACGAGCAACGTGATTGTTCTAACACAAGCTCTTCTGCGTGTGGTAGATACTAGCCGTTGAAACTCTTCCAATCGCTTATTGGTGTTGATGTAGATATACGAAAACGTGTGTCTTTCGATCATAGCCTGCCAGCGACGGTCCACAGTGGCATATGGGGCCAGGAAAATACCACTTCTTGCAGGTCTATCGGAAACAATGTAGTCCACCACTCGAGACATCAATTCTGGTGGCAGTGACTCCATTGCGTGTGTGCAAATGTGGGAATGAAGAACTTGCAAGTCACGATAGGTGTAATTCTCACGCTAACTTAGGCCGCTGAGCCTAAGCGATTACATAAGACCATTTTACCACCCGTGGACCTGCCCAGGTCCGCACGGTCGCCACCTGGCCACTCTGCCAAAAGATGTATGGATTGACTTCGATGTCGCGACAACTTTTAGCAATATGGGTCCCCGTGAGAGGGCATATTGCGAATATGAAACCGGACTTGTCAAGAATTTTGCAAAGCTTTGGTTTGTCTATCTTCCTTGCCTTAGGTATCATTATTCAACAAATATAACCTCTAGAGCGAGGACCAGACATAGGGCCTTCCCCCTAACACTAAATATTATTGATTTGAACTCAAAAGGACAAAGCAAACTGGCACGATATTGGATCAGGAGAGGGATATTACACACGCAACTTGGCTTATGCTACTTGTCGAACCCGCCCCGCTTTCTGGGGCCACTCAAACTTTCTCTATCGTTATACCTACATGTCGGAAATCGCCTTTAGCGCTCTGCTGTTTTACACCAATATCATGGACGCACACGCCGGAGGAAGGCATGAAACCCTTGGTCGGGATTCTTTTTATAACTTGGCTAAGCTTTCTCGATGTAAGCCTTTAGCTTAGCAAAAAGCTCCTCGATGGGGTTGAAATCCGGAGAGAAAGGCGGCAGATATAGTAATCTGACTCCTACGTTAGAACACAAAATAGTGATGGTACTGGACGGCAGGCGGTGAAACGCCGCCTCGCCGTCCAAAGTTACGGGTGGAAAGGCGGCCGTTTCTGGCATCGAAAGCCGTCATTTTCGACGTCAATTTCACAGGTCCTCAGATTCTAGTTGTAATTAATGTAATTTACAACGGCTCGTAAAGATATATTCTAAGGTTTGTAGATGCGATGTAGGATGAATCGGGCGTATAACTCGAGATTAGAATATACAATTTTAAATATAGCTAACAATATCGAGATGAGTAGTCGGTATAGTACATGAAGTCCTGGACAGCAACAGAATATATAAATGGCGGCGCAAACCCGGCACATGCGTTCCACTAAATTGCCAAATCAAATCTTCTCACTGATCTTGATAGCAGTCCTGCATCCAAAACGAATGATATCCACAAGCGGATCGTAGGGCTTCGCCTCCTTTGAGTCGTTGGCTACGGCATGGTCGAGGTGTTCTAGTTCCTCGTCACGAATCCTCCGGAATGTGGCCAACATTTCTTTGAGTTCCTCATCCAGCTCCTCCCCCCGCCTCTCGGCATCTGCCTCCCAAGACAGAATCTCTCTTACTTGGTCGTTGTAGTGTGATCCAATTTCAGTCTCCACAGCTTCGGTGCACGCCATTGCAGCTTCGCGACCCAATGCCGCAGTCGACCAACCCAAAAATGTGGCGGCTACCTCCCATGCCGGATACATGGCAGTTGGTCGGATCTGGTGCTTGGCGACGAGGTGATTGAAAGTCTTTAAATGCCCTGCTTCTTGGTCGTACATGTGTTTCATCAACGGTCGGAGGTGTGGGTATGATCGTACGACCTGAGGCGTTTGGGCTTTGTAGATCAGCGTCGCGGCGAGCTCACCGGCTTGATTCACTCGCAGGGCGCTATCCATGAATTCTCGTTGCTCTTTGCTGAGAAGATATAGAGGTTTGGAGCCACCGGGGGTTCCGGTGGTAGTTGAAGCCTGCCGACATTGGCCATGCTTAAATGTTGACGGCGCGAGAAAATCGAGAAAAATAGGTGTTGCTGCCGGTGCAGGATAACGACAATGCGTCAAGGCGCATCTGCGCAGAATAGGTGAAGATAACATCGAGAAGTCAAATTGGACTACTAATGAAGCCAATTCAAGGGACGAAGCTCAGAGGTCGCGCATTGGTCGCTTAGACTGCCTTTGCGCTACCGCGCGCTTACTGTCGGCTTGGCATTGAACGTCATGAAGTTGACGGCTATGGCCAACTTGCGACGACCATCTACACGTCTTTTACGATACCCTCCATTACCTCCTCTCTTCGTCCTGTGTATAGAGTGTTTGTCGGGCTTGGGACATTACTTCATCCAGCACGGACGTTTTTGGCCACCTTTGCAAGTCTTGCCTACTTCTCCATTTTTGGAACGACTCCTGTAAAGGAGGGCAGAAATCCATAGCAGCACGAATACTCCTATTGTTCTAGGGCTGTTGAATACCTATATATCAATAGGCTTTCTGTTTATTGAGTTCTATTGAAGGTATAACTGTTTTGAGAGATATTCACAATGGCGGACGATTTGGATGCTGAGCTGCTCGCTTTGGCGGGTGACTCTGAGGAGGAAACTTCACCACCCCCCAAATCACCAGCACACTCTTCTTCTTCACACATTCAGGATCGAGATACCTCACCTGCAGCCATGGGTCGCAAAGGAACCGCTAAATCGGTGGGCCGCCGAGCCCGCAAGCCTGTGAAAGACGAATCAGAGGGTGAAATGTGAGGACTGCCCCTCTATTTTGATAACGAGCCGCCTTGCTGACCTGATAATTTATACAGTTCTGACGATGGATCTCGTCACTCGCTTCAGTCTGCCCCCATGTCCGAGTCCGAGTCAGAGGCTGACAATTCCGACGATAACGACGAGGATCGCCCCATCTTCCCATATGATAAATTGTACTACTCGGCCCAGGACAAAAAGGACATCATGGCTATGCCTGAAATCCAGCGTGAGGAAACCCTGTCCGAACGTGCCCAGCAAGTCGATCGCCACAACCAGGATCTGGCTCTGCGCCGCCTTCTAGCATCGCGATCGCGCGAGGAAGCACGAGCGGCCAAGAAAGCCAAACGAAAGGCAGGGTCCGCCGGCTTGGATGATAACCAGCGCAAGAGCTCGCGCCAGAAGACCACTCTTGGTGGCCGCAAAGTCGGAGAAACGTCCGGAGCCATCGAAGCTTACAAGCGCCAGCGTGAGCAGAAGGGCAAGCGGGATGAACTCCGTCGCCGAGATCCTGCGAAATCGCGCCGCCGTTCGCGCTCCGTGGGATCGGATATTTCTGACGAAGATGCTGATGCTGAGAGTGATCTTGAATTGGATGACCGCGTTGGCCGTGCTGTTTCCATTCCCAAGGATGACCCGCCCGCCGAGCTTCGTGAAATTCGACGTGCTCAGATTGGACGTAATAACTTTGCCAAAGTTTGTTTCTACCCCGGATTCGAGAATGCTATGATTGGCTGTTACGCTCGGCTGAGTATTGGCCCGCACCCCGAAACTGGCCAGAATGAATATCGCTTGGGCCTGATTACTGGTAAGAGTCTATGCTTCCGGACCTGTTTATTCATGCTGACGTTTCTCTAGGAATCTCTCAGGGCAAGCCATACGCCTTAGAAGGCGAAAACGGTCGCTCATTTGTCACGGATCAGTATGTCAAGCTGGCACATGGAAAGTCTGTCAGAGACTTCCCCTTCGTCACTTTCTCGAACTCTCCACTTACTGAGGTTTGTTCCTTGCTCTCGAATCTTGGAAGCCAACTAACAGAAGACTAGGCCGAGTACCGCCGTTACGTTCAGACCCTCGCTGTTGAGGATTGCAAGATGGCTACAAAGGGCAAGGTTGAATCGAAGGTTGCCGATATCAACCGTCTTCTCAACCATACATTCACTCGGGAGGAGTTGAACGAGAAACTCCGTCGCCAGGGTGCTTTCGACGAGAAGAAGAATGTGCTTAACCGTCTCGAACTCGAAAGAAATCTGGAATTCGCCAAAATCAACGGAAACATGGAGGAGGCCGAGAAGATCGAGACAGAACTGCAGAAATTGGCCAATCCGACCTTGTCCTGGGGAACAAGCCTCGTCAAGAAAGAGGTCGACAAGGGTCTATCGGAAGCCGAACGAGTCCACCAGATCAACCTTCGCAACCAAAAGCTTAACATCGAGAACGGTCGCCGTGCTCAGCTCGAGGAGAGAAAGGCCGCTAAGAAGGCCGCCCAGGCTGTTGCACGCGGAGAGGCTGCCCCAAATCCGTTCATGCGCGTGCGAACAGTGGCCAAAACTCACCACGATGTCAACGGAGTACACAAAACCGCTGCTGCCGAGGCCGCTTCTGTGGACAACCCGAAAGATACCCCCGCAAAATCCAATGGCAGTCCCGCACACAAGGGAACTCCAGCCTCTCGCACCACTCCAAAGAAGCCCAAGAACGGCTTCATGATTAGTTACCGCAACACCGACGATGAGAACATTGCGGCCCTGGATATGGACATCGACATCGAGATTTAGTCTCATTTAATAATGTCGTCTTTTCCTATGCTTCAGTTCGGTGGCTTTTTGTTCGGTGAATCGATTTACTACCTATGAGAGCATTCTTCGTTTCTGAGATTCCATAATTCCCCGAACAAGTCTACATTTCTCAAGGACCCTTGGCGGTGGTTGGCTCAGCCTTGCCCGCATTGTGATTGTATCTTTTGCTTCTGTTTTTTTTCTTAGACAATATTTGAGGAGTCCGTGGGTGGTCTCGGCGTTTCAGAAAATAGCATCAAGCTTTGTATTATGAGATTTCCGGGAATGCAGCATAGCAACACTCCAGTCGATGTTAGCAGCACAGCATTTATGTACCAGAAGAGATATTTCTAAAATAATCACACACAACCCACCCTACAAAAAAAGATTAAAATGAGAAAACATCACTTGCTGCTACTACAATGCATGTATGCACCTATATATGTAGCAGTATGAGGCCGTGGATGTTTCCCGTCGTCCCAATAACAGCGGTACAAACTGGCATCCCTGGTCTGCGCCATTCCTTGTTTCACTGTTTGTGTGATGGATAGTTATAACTCTTCGGGCATCTCCAACACCAGGAATTTGAATAGAGCGGAACAACCTTTGCATAGAACCGGCGGTTCCTCTATCGCTTGAGGCTGTGATAAGTCTAGTCGAGTGGGGCGTATTCGGGGATTTACATGTATCTATCACCTTCAGCATCCTCTCTCTTCTTTTTTTTCCTGTGTCTTCACCACTTTTACATTCTTGGGTCCCAAGGCAAGAATTCATAATGCCCATCACATCTCTTTCAGTTGAAGTGATTTCCATCGTCTGCAGCCATCTACAGCTCCGCGATTGGCAAGCTCTCAGACTATCATGTCGCGCACTGCACAGCATATCGCTCGAGAGTTTCTCCAAGCAATATTTCAAAACAATTCAATTTGTTGTGGCAAGGGACAGCCTTTTTGAACTGGAAGCTCTGGCCAAAATCAATAGTGCTCAGGGAAGTGTTCAAGAGTTGTGGATGATACCATCCGTGTTCGCGGGCTCCGAATTTGCTATATATCGAAAGATTGTCAGCCGATGAAGGATGACGAGTTGAAATCTCGCTTTACAATATATAAAGCCTTAGTCGCGGACAGCTCTAGCCTTCTTGAATCAGAAGCCTTCAGCGCTAGACTTCGATGTTGTTTGGAAAAGTTTAAAAACCTTGACACGGTCGGACTTGCGCATTATATAATGAGTTTTCTGCTCCATACACGGCAAATAAAAGTTCAATTTCTTGGTCGACGCCGCCTAATAAATCAAATCGACTTCCGATTCGGGAGTTTGGATCTTATGGCGCTTCGTGGCAGCGCCAGCTCAATGAAGGAGGTTAACTCTTTAGCCGCATCGAGACTCTTACAAGTTCTTAGCGAGACCAACCAAAAAATCGGAAAGCTATCGACATACAATGCTGATTATTGTGGTTATATAGCACCCGAAATTACCATCACACAGCCGCAACACCGCTCGCTGCTTCTAGTTCTCAGTGAACTAGAGGATCTTCACGTGTGCACAGCTTTCGGAAGACCAAATCTGGCTGGAGCTTTGACTGCACCGACCTGGATCAATTTGCTGATCAAGGTCGCTCCGCGTCTGGAAAGACTAGCTCTTTCGCAAGACCAGTACTTCAGGGAGCTTTCGCAGAAAATCGAATTCACACCTCTCAAAGAGCTCTAATTTCATAAGACTCGAGTCATTTGTGATGATCTGAAATTATTACTGAATAGTGTCAAAGCAACCCTGACTAATTTCACGCTCTTTGAGGTGATATTAGTAGATGATGATATACAAGCACCATCTTCCTCGCCAATATTTTCAGAAGACTACGCAGCAGATCCGTATTCTCCAAGCCCAACATCGTTTTCTCCCACTCCAAATCCCGATCCTCCAATCCCAGAAATCTATTATCCAACTTCAGATCCCTGTCCTCCAAATTCAGAAACCTACTATCCAACTTCAGATACCGATCTTTCAACCTCAGAGACCTACTATCCAAATTCAGATCCCTATCCTTCAGCCATATGTCCAGCGGGGCAATTATCACCTGCATCAGCTTACTCGCCTTCATCACCTTCGATACACCCTGGGAAGCACGAGGACATTCTTTGGAGGCTTCTTTGGAAATTCTTCAGAGATGAGGAGCTATCGCTACTGAGATTTTCAATGACAAGGATCGCCCACATCAAGGTGGCAACACCAGAACCAAGGTAAGCATTTCATATTCCTAGGTCCACAAGGCTATTCTAATTCAAACCAGAGGCATGGCTCCAAAAGATGTTCCCTTGGGACAGTTCACCAAATCGTGTCATATGTGACTGCAATGGTATGCATAGATTGCACTGCGACTCTAGTTGTGGTCGATAGTAAGCGAGCAAGATTACGTAGGTACTCGGGAAACAGCCTTTTACGTACGTAGTTAAAAAGGCTTATGACCAGACTGTAGAAGTCCTTCTACGCAGTTATCTAGAACTAAGCAATACTTCCGATGGCTATAAAGAGACTGCTTTTCTGTAGGCTATCAGAGTACGAAAAATTGAGATGGTTCGAATGTTTTTGAATTATGGCGCGGATACTGCACATGTCCCAATTCAGACATAGACCTCCTATTATGGGGTCAACTCCCGACAAGATCTGGCAAAGCACATACTTTCATCTTCATGTCTACGCGCCAATTAACCATTTCGCTGGATGTGGATATATAGTATTTGCAACTACAAGATTCTGGCTGAATATTTGACACAGAGAAGAGCCACACTGTCGACCCACGCACCAGGCTATCCCTTTTGTTCATGATTCTTCAAGCGTCATACAACTCGTATAGCCTATACACTGATTAGCAATGCAATTGAAATCGTTGAAGATTGTACATACCCATTCAAGGCTTTTGGCATTCAAGGTACTTCTCGCCACGCCTGCAAGGCGCTTTCGCCAGGACCTGGCAGCACTGGTCACCGGCCTTGTCAGCACAGTCGCCAGAGCCGTCCTTGGAGACAGCCACGATCTGGTTGCCGTCAGACAGCTGCTGGCCAGCCTTGAAGGGAGAATGACCGCAGTAGTCGGCGCCGTAGCCGTACTCGGACTTGGTCCAGTTGCAGCCCCAGCCGTTGTAAACGCAGTCGGGAGTCTCAGTGGCGGTCACACTGGTCTGAGTGGGGGTAGAGCCAGAGGTGATGGGAGTCGTGGAGGGGAGGGTGGAGGTAGGGGAGAGAGGAGAAGACGAAGGCGAGGGAGAGGAAGAAGGCGAGGGAGAGGTAGTCAATCTGGCCGAGGCCACACCGGCCAGGAGGAGGGAGATAAAGGCGAGCTTGTACTGCATTTTGATAATTTGAATTGAGTGGTTTAGAGAAGAGAAAATCAGGGTTGTTAGATAAAGATATAAGACAGGCCAAGAGGCGGAAATTTGTACTGGTAGCCTCAACAAATGGCACAAGGAACTCTACAATATAGGATCTGCATGCTCAGCCCAAAACAAAACCAGATCTAGATCGGCAGTGAGAACAGCCTAGGTATTCCAATAGTTTGGTGGAGAGCAGTGGTAGTGGTGGAGCCGGAGCCCGCCCTGCCCTAACGGCAAGCGGTAATTGTTTTCCAAAGCTGAACGTCGGGCCATCTCGGGCCCCAGTTTGAGTGGAATCGGTTGAATCTACGGAGTACCGATCAAACAGTTCAAAATACGCTTCAGAAAGCCGACCTGATCGCCACCTCGCAGACCTCTTGTTCCTTATTTATGTACCGAGAACACGGTCATTCGGTGCCTTCCAAGATTGGGAATCGAGTAATATGTCGATCCCGCAGGAACCACTCGAACAGTGTGATGCATGGAGCCACTATGTTGTATACCGCTACGGAGTATTCTACCGGTGGATCCCGTCTTGTTGGGAGAAAATGACCCGCCCTCGATTTTGAGGGAAAGGTAGGTGTCTCGAGGTGAAAATCTTGATTATCACTATTAGGGAAATATAAGAGGTTACCAAAAGCGAGGAAATTAAGGCTGTTGAAGAAGCGATATTAGCATCTTTGGGGAGTCTCAATTCGTATGTAGACCAGATTCATATATATTCTAAGGGACCTGGATTCAACGAATTCCCGGGATAACGAGCTTTTTGCTATGTTTCAATTAGTTTGTTATAACGGAGGTTTACTGTACTCATCTCTATAGTTCTCACTTGGAGAAATGGGCGATAAGATAAGGTCACGTGTATGGCCTAGCAACGCGAGGAACGCGCATCGCGTTCAGACTATGCGGCCTTGAACCTGGTGTCCACTTCACCTTCTTCAGGACCTTGGAAGTCTCAAAGCTCGCCTCCAAGTACAATTGATATCATTATGAGAATTATTTCCTAAAATCCACCATACTCCACCATAATTCACCATAATATTCGCGACATGTCCTCCCCATCCACACCACGGTCGACGCGTTCCGTGTCGCCCGCGGGCGATTCGCCGAACATTATTACGCCGGGCCAGAAGATCAAGGCCATGATGGCGGAATTCGACAGCGATTCGGAGGGTGACACTCAAATTGCCAAGTCAACAGATGCTGTCTCGAAACTTGATCTAGGACGTGGTGCTGTACCGGCCACTGATACACGCTATAATCGCCCGTTGCACGACCCAGAAGACAACTCAGACAGCGCAGATGAAGTTTTCCGACCAAAGGGCCGTATGGCTGCCCGTTTACAGGGCAATTATAGACCAGCTGAACCCGAGGACGAAAGATCAGCATTAGCCCGCGTGTCGAAGGCCTTCCGATCAGAAAATGAACAAGGCGAGAAACCCCAGCGAACAGAACCACAACCCATACCCATGGGCGAATCTAGTGATAATGATGATCTACCTACGGCTGGCCCGAGGAGGAAGCATAAGTCCACAACCAACTCCCCCAGGTCCGACAACAGAGCAAGCCAAACTCCCTGTTCAAGACCCGACTCTCCTCTCTTTGTGTCCTCTCCTGGCGAATCGCAGGATGACCTAGACGCCGAAGACACCGAAAATGCCACCGAAAAGAAGCCCAAAGGAAACGCCCGTTTTCTGTCTCTTGTCGCTCAAAAGCGCAAGGAACGCGAGGAGCGAGAGAAAGCCGAGGCCGAAAAGAAGAAGGCCATACGAAGAGTCCAAATGGAGCAGCTCAGCTCGGAGGTACTCTCGGGCGAGGAGAGCGGTGCTGATGATCCGCGTTCTGCAAGCAAGCTCTCCCAGAAGGCTCGTCAGCCCCGGAAAGCCAGCAAGAAGGCACTGGATGAGATGAGGCAGGAGACTCAGCGAATGAGCCGTAATATGCAGCTAGCTCACCAGGCCAAGACAAAAAAGAAGATCACAAAGGAAAGCCTCTTCGCCAAATTCAACTTCATGCAACCTGATCCGCCAGTTGAGCAGCTCGCGGCAAATTCATCGTCAGCGGTCGGATCACAAAATTCCTCTGATGGAGAACTACGCACCAATGATACTCCTCATACTTCTCCAGTTCTCGGCCATTTGGATCCCAGCAAGCCGAATGCTGATTCTGAGGATGCCCAAGTTCAAGCAGCTGATGTTGATATGGATGCGGATACTGAAGATTTGCCTTCCCCGAAAGACATCCTGGCGCCAAACCAGCATCCTGCATTGAGCAAGGACCCTGCAGTCCAAGATGTCTTGCCCTCTGTACCTGAACCCAAATCCGAGGGAGCCAAATTGAAGAGAGTTTCGCGCCCACTCACACAACCGCCTATCCGTGTGTTGCTTTCTAGGCAAGAGGTTGCTGCGCATCAAAAAGATTCAGACGATTCCGATAGCGATCTTGAGGTGGTAACATCCCCTGGCAAGTGCCGTCGTATTGCAGCGTTCGAAAATCTGCCTACTAGACAGTTGCATGAAGATCCCTCTATGACCAAGCTCAAGGCATTAGCACATCTGACGTCTCCTACCCGAAAAATGGCTTCCATGAATTCCGCAGAGCTTTCCGCGAATCTATTATGGCGGGCCCGACAACAAGCGGCTAAGGAGCGCCGGGAGCGGATTGAAGAGCTCAGGGCCAAGGGAGTTGTCATTGAAACAGCTGAGGAGCGTGCAGCGATGGAGGATGACATGGAAAACCTTGTCGATAAAGCACGCAAAGAGGCAGACGAGATCCGCCGACTGGAGAAAGCTGCTGGGAAAAAGGCCAGCGGTGAGGATGACGAAGAAGAAGAGGATGATGATTACGAGCTCTCAGGCTCTGATCAGGAAGGCGATGCTGAAGGAGACGATGAAGATGACGAAGAAGAAGAAGACGAGCGCGTCAATGGCGGCGGGGATTTCGTTGAACATGAGGCTGGTGAAGAAGACGATCCGGCTGACGACGAGAGCGAGGCCGAGGCCGCCCCCGCAGATGCAGAGAACGAGATACCTGCCGCGAGACGGAAGCGACGAACTCGAGTGGTCAGCGATGACGAAGATGAAGACCAACCACAACCACCCTCAACCCCTGCGAGAGCCCCGAGTTATGTCCCCCAGTCCGCCGAACGACCCAACTTCCTTGGCATGGGAACATCAGGCGATATGTCTCTAGGTCTTACCCAGGCATTTGCTTCCACGTTGGATGGCAACGATGCTGGCACCCAAGCGGAATCTGCCACTATGTTATTCTCTCCTCCGGATCCTGGTCAGCCTGTTCCTCAACTTCGAAAGGAGGAATCGGAGGTTCTTGTCCCAGACAGCCAGCCGCAGGACAAAGACTTTATGGAGGGCTATGCGCAAAGTGTGACCCGAGTATCAGAGTCGCCTGCGCCATATGCGTTCTCGGAGTTTTCCCAATCCCAGCTGCCCGACCCGACCCAGGATGAGGGCTTCGTATTCTCACCATTTGATCCTGCAAAAAGATTCAGGGGTACCCCGCCCATGTCTACCGTCGACACCGTCCTTGTCGGCCAAGCTCAGTCGCCCATTGCTGACCGCAAGCGCAAAATGTTGCGTCGTGGACGTGCAACTGAACTTCCTCAAGTCGAGGAGAACGATAACGAAGGTGACTTTGAAATCAACGCCAACGCCTTCAATGTCATGAAGAAGGATAGGGCTGTAAAGAAGAGTCCTGCTCCGCAATTCAACAAGAAAAACAGCAAGGCCAAAGACATTGTCGATGAGGCCGCCGAAGAATCCGAAGACGAATATGCAGGCCTTGGAGGTAACAGTGATGAGAGCGATGGTGAAGAAAATGCCATTGATCGCCAAATGATCAATGATAACAGTGGCGAGGTGGTTGATGAGAAGCAACTTGCCGCACTCAACGCGTATGTTAGAGTTTGGTACATGCTCACTGAGAAGATGCTAACATTCTTATAGGGTTCACGATCGCAACCGTGACGAGAAAGATGTGGCCAAGTTAATGAGAGATATCACCACTGGAGCCCTGCGTCGTCGCAAGAATGCGGATGATGACTTTGACCTCGATGACTCGGACGACGAGCACCTAGCACGTCGCCGCGAGAAGCAACGCGAGTTCGCTAAGATGCGTCGCGCTCTCCTTGCAGACGAGAAAATTGGCGAGATTGCCGAGAATCCCAAGAAGGCCGCATTCTTCAAGGCCGTTGAGGATCGCGATGTTGATGATGATTTCAATATCGACTTCCTGGAGGAAGAAGACCACGGCTCCCAGGGAGAAGCATCGCAGGACGCTGTTTCGGGAGAACAGTCGAATGATCCAGCGAGCGATGGTCACAACCGCAAGCGCCCCCTCGAACCATCAGCTGAAGATGCGACCAACCGTCCACCGCCTCGCCTCCGCCGCACCCCCGCCAGCGCAATGTCAAAGAAACCGGCTACCATAGCAGAGATTCGTGAAACGTTGTCCTTCCTCACTGAAACCCCCGAATACGACTCATTCCAGGAAGACGCTTCTCTCGATGAAGTAGAACACGAGCAAGAAGATGAGGACACCCCCGGCGCAGAAGAAGGCCAAGGCCATGATGATCAGCCGCAATCTGACAATACCTTCGCCAAACCTAGCCACCCACGCCGGACGCGCGGAGTCGTGGTCGATCGCCTTGCCCTCCTCCGACAAGCATCCTCCAACTCCGCCACAGGCACCAACTCCGGCTCTGTAGACTCCAAGCTTGCATTCCACAGCGGCAGCAGCGGAGAGGGTCCTATTGGGTTCCGCCCTCCTCAACTCCTGCGTCGTGTTACGGCAGGCTCCTCATCTTCCAGTAGCTCCAATGCCTCCAATCGTGTCTCCAAAGTTGCAGCTTCGGGTCCCAAGAAGGGCGGTGCCGTTAACTCGTATGCAGCTGCGCGCGAGCGTGAGCGTGAGAAGGAGCTCCGCATCAAGCAGCGCAGCGGGGGCTCTAACATTGCCAAGTTGCTGGGTAAGCATACTGGTGGTGGTCTGGGTGCGTTGAATAAGGGTCAATGGGACTGAGTGGATGTCCCGGTTGAATGTGATGTCTTCCTCTGTGGGCATGGAGTTGCCTTTTCATGTCATGCTACGATGGAATGAGATTGGTTAACCGGAGTTAAGGTCACATGGATTTCGGGGATTAGGCGTATTGTTTGTGATGAATCCGCTACATACATGTATTCAATCGAACATTTAGATTGCGCATTGCTTTAGCGATCTTTCCA